TAGAGGAAAAGAGGAGTTGCAGAAGTACCAGTTTTCATTTATTTTTCACAGGTCTTTCTCATGAAAAACCAAGGCAGAAATTAGAGATGCGAATTTTTCTCTTGCATTGGGAAAATACACAAACAGATTATTTCCAAGGGCTATAACAGAATAACCTAATTTCAGTCTTTACTTAAAATAGGTTTTAAACTATGATCAACTACTTAAGTAGTCCAGTGGTTAATGCTATTCTGGGGCCCTTCTAAAGGTGTAATAAGTAGTTGTAGCAAATATGTGTTTTCATTTGTGAGCATGTAGTATGTCAATAGAAATCAAACATTTCAATATCAAAATCAGTACAACCTCTTGTCAACTCAACTAACCGTGAAAATAGTTTTTCATTTTTACTGTATTCTTTCTTTCATTTTTTCTGGTAACAGCTATTACAAGTGTGCCTACCTACTTCAAGCACTTGGCTGACATCTTTCATCATTACAGAAATAATCAAAGCAGAAGCAGGGATATTTAAGGTCTTTCCAGGGTATTTTGGCATTTCTAATGTCTTATGATGCTGAGAAGCATGCAAGTGGAATTTATGTAATTAATGGTGTAAGCGGGAGAGTTGTCTTTAGTTACTGGTTATTTCTTCAGGGCATCCCTGAGTTGCTTCTTATTTTACTATATTACTTATTTTTTCCAGCCTCCTTTTCAGGAGCTTTATTTACCAGTTGGTTTGAACCAGCACCCCATATCCCAGCATTTCCCTTTTACTCAGATGCCTCAGAAGGACGCGACCTTTCTGATATGGTTAGGGAAGGGGACATGAAGTCTGTGCTCCAGCTGAGAAGGCATCAGCCCACACAGATCTTGAGCCTCTTGCCAGCTCCTTAGGAAGCAGAAGCTTCCTATCTTACTGGAGCCAGAAAAGCTGAAATGATTTATTTAGCTGGCCTGTTCACTTCTGTTGCTTCCTTAATTTATTTATCATATGTTTATTTGTTCTGCTGTTCAAAGCATTAAAGAAAGGGGAAGAAAACCACTAGGAAACAGACAGTCCTTTCACTGGGGAGTATTTTGATTTGTGGAGCTGTTCTTACATCCCCCGCAGCTTGAAGCATTCCTAGGCCAGCCTTATCTCCACACCTTCCAAACATTTAAAGACATGCCTTGTCACTTTTATTCTCTCAATTCAGACCTTTGAGCAGAGCCTACAAACTAGCAAATTAGCATCTGCTCTCTTCTTAAAGTCAACAGAGGACAGCTGCAGCACTGTTCTTGAAAGACTGCTCAGGGCTCTGCCACCCAGGCATCAGGAAATTACCTAACTGCCATCATTTTGCTATGGCATCTATGACTTTCTTCTTGACAGATTTTTAGGATGCTGTAGTAAGATTCTGTCCATTTTTTGGTGAGGTGAATGGGGCTGCATTTGAGTACTATTACACACATATTCTTTCCACATCCTGACCAAACTGCAGGGTGAAAATGTTCACTATTAACAGGCTAATGTGGGAGCAGCACTTCAGTCATTCCAACCCTGCACTAGTTTGTATAGCTGGGACTTCATGCACATAGCAGCCATGGAGTGTAAGCCAAGAAATGTGTTGGAGCTGGGGCTGCCATGCAGTAGCTGTGTGGACTGAAGCATAGAGAGAACAATACTGGAGGTAGCTTGGAGTGGGAAGAGCTGCAGTAAGACTAAGATGCAGATGCCTGTTTCCTCATTTAGGTGGGTCTTGTAGGCTCGGGTCAGCACCTTGCTGAATTTTATGCTGTTGCCTGAACTAGCTGATTTGAATCTGGCTATGCTTAATTTCACTTTATAATGGGGACTACTGAACATTTATCTGTGGAGAGTCTATGTGAAGATCTTGACCCACTAAGGCTTTTGAAAAATGCACAAGCAATACTTGTACAAGGGTGCAGAAGGGTGGAAATTCCTCTAAGTGCAGGACACTGACTCCTGGGAAGCAACATGGAAGTACTGTAGTCCCAGCTATTGCTAGTCATGTGCTGGTCAGACTGGTTCTTTCTGTTCATATCAGTAGGTTTACATTGACTCTAGAAACCGATGGACCAGACCCTGTTTGCTGTTGATGGGAAATGGAGTAAAGAAAGTCTAGCTGGCATGGCATGGGGCTATCCTACTACCCACAGAGTAACAAGGAGGCTTGTTCCCATTCTCTGTCCACAACACGTGCTCCTGTTACAGAATGGCACTGGGGAATTGTCCTGTTTCCTCTGCAGTTTATTACATAAAACAGTTGGACTCCATGGAGACAACACGTTTCAAGGGGGTACAGATGCTTGGGGAAATAGTCCTCTTTGCTCTGGCCAAATAACTCCTTCTTGCAAGTGGTTATGGTGACAGCAAGGCCTCTACCAACAAACATTCATTCTCTGGGATTGACAGGATTGTCACAGCAGTGAGATTACAGCTGCACTCTGGATGCTTTGCAAGTCTCCTCCAGTGCTCTTGTGTCAGATCTTCAGCCATTTCAGCCTTCACAGATGGAGCCCTGATGCTCTGTCTCTTTCTTTCCTCTGAGCGTGGAATCTCAGACACCAATTCTCCTACAGTACATTTAGCAAATCTAATTGTGTTCCAGCATCTGGAGTCCTGCTCTCTCTGGCATTGTTAAACTGAGCAAACAGTGTCCACAAAGAGTAGTACTAGGTACTTGATGACGAAAGCATATGGAGAAAATGTACCATGGAACAGTACATAGTCCATGTGTATGCTAAGTTTAGCAGGTCAACACAGCATCCCTGTAGGAATTTTCCACAAGTTTTGGTTTGTCTTTATTTTGTCAGAATATCTACCTCTGCTATTTTAACTGTTTTCAGCCTTCTCTAATTTGTTTATAACCCTCCCTCCATTGGGGGGGAAGCTATGAAACTGATGTATTGTCCCAGAGATTTTTCTGAACTGATTAAATGATGTTCAAGCCTTCAGAAAGCCCTGTTACTCCTGGCCCCCTGGGCAGGCCCTTATAAATGCATCTAGCATTTAGGAAGCTAAAAGCATGATCCTTCAGCACAGGAAAGGCATGGACCTGTAGGAGCGGATCCAGAAGAGAGCCATAAAAATCAAAGGGATGGAACACCTCTCCTAGGAAGAAAGGCTGAAAGAGTTGAGATTGTTCAGCCCAGAGAAGAGAAGGCTCTGGGGAGACATTATTGCAGCCTTCCAGTACTTAAAGGGGGCTTATTATACAGATGGGCACAAACTTTTTAGCAGGACCTGTTGCGATAGGACAAGGGGGTAATGGTTTTAAACTAAAAGAGGGTAGATTTAGACTACATGTAAGGCAGAAATCTTTTACACTGAGGGTGGTGAAACACTGGAACAGGTTGCCCAGAGAGGTAGTAGATACCCCATCCGTGGAAACATTCAAGGTTAGGGTGGACAGGGCTCTAAGCAACCTGATCTAGTTGAAGATATGCCTGCTCACTGCAGGGGTGTTGGACTAGATGACCTTTAAAGATCCCTTCCAACCCAAACTGGTCTATGACTCTGTATCTATCTGCTTATATATATATAACTAAGTGAAATGATCTGATCCTCTCTCAGCAAGCAGAAAAGTGAGGGCTCCTCCAGTGGCTGCTACTCATATTTGTAAGGGTCATAGCCAACTTCAGTGATGTCCACTCCATTATTCCCAAGAAGGTACAGAGGAATATCATCAAAGGCAGTGGCTACTAGACAGTTCTAACTAATCCTGAGGGCCAAAGATTTGAGAAGCTATAATTGTGTTTCTCATTTTAGCTACTTACTGGAATCACCTTAGTGACTTTCTGGAAACACCTGGAGTCATGGATGAGTTTTCCTCTAACCATTGGTAAACTGTTTTCCTTAGTATGTGCAGGTTTTCTTCTTATATACTCTTGGCACCACACCTGAAAATAAATTACGTAACTGTGGTTTTCCACAAAAGATACTAAACAGAAGTTATCATTTTCATCAGCTGAAATATTTCATTGTAATACACTTCAGCAAGGTAGAGGAAAGGCAGATTAAGAAAACACTGTGATATCAGTGTTGAATAAACTGAACACGCTCAAATGATTTATCTGGGCCTTTTAAGCTGTGCAGTGCTCTTGTTATAATTGCTTTTAATATTGTCTAAATATGTTTTATAGGATATTTCCCATATAAACCATTTTCATGGACTTTGTACCAGGCACAGTGTAGTACCTGAAGTCTACTGGCTAAACATGTTTTATAGTCTAGGTTTTCTGTACAAACAGCTTTCACGGGGTTGTTTGTCAGGGGACTTTGATCCAAACAAGATTATTGCAGGCAATTCTACCCTGGTATGAAAGGCTACAGAGCTATTTATATGGCATTTCTTTGCAGCAGGTTGGACTCTCAGGCATGGGCTTGCCTTTTTTCTAATACACCAGTCATCTCCTGGAGAATATGTTCCCTTGTGCATCTGCACTAATGTGTTGACCTACACAAGGCACCAGGATGGGGGGAGGCATTCAAAGGGCTGTTTTCTGCTTTGTTTCATCCCATTCTTCTATATATTTGTCCTTAGGGGAATGTCAATGAGCATAATAGCATAATGGATCCATTTGTCTGGCAACAATTTATATAATACCTGTTACTCTAAAAGCTAGATTATTTCCAAATCAATAATTAGATTCACAAACGTTTACAGACACCATGAATTCTTCTGTTTTCAACAAGACCAATCAGTAACTATGTAGAAGGAAAAGTGGTGATTTGATGTATGTGAAAATTTATTTAACTCTGGATCCCAACAGGAAAAATGTCACAAAGATATCTGTGGTAAAGCTTGGTTTGTGTTGTTTTAAGACATGTGTCTGTTATAAGACAAACCACATAGTGTCAGAAATGAGATAGATGTGGCACAATTAGAGCTGTAAAAGGCACGAGGAGAACCTGTTCCTCCTGAAATCATACTGCTTTGCTGCTTTCCTCTAAAGGAGAGATCCAGAGCACATTCAACTTCTAGGGCAGGTACAGAAGAGGAGAAACACATCATGTGGTCTTAACCAACTCCATTGTAGACTTTGCAGCTTATGTCAGGATTAGTTTTCTTCACCACACGGATGGAACAGCTTTTCTTGTGGAACAGGCCAACACAGTTCACTCTGTCATAGTTCTTGGGGATTAAAACCCTGTCATTGAAAAAGGCAAAGAGAAAATCAGCAGCCAAGACAGAGACTGAGAAGGATGCTTACTGGGCCACAGCCATCCAGGAGCAAGCTACATCATGGATCAATTTGGCTCATGGATTCCATTAATACAAGTGCTGTGGATTATCATAGGAGGAATAGAGAGCCCTGACCACGGCTGTTAACAAATGAAGTGATTTCACAATGCTTGTTCTGGTTTAAATGCAGTTCTCACTGGTCATTCACTGAGATTGGTATAAATTCCTGCACAGAGACAAAACAGGGATTAATTCTGTCTTCCCCATTCAGACTAAGACTTTCTTGATAGTAACAAAACATATAAAGAGTGCTGAATCACCCGAGCATGAATACCTTCCAGCCAAGCCTCTTCTCAGTGCAGGCTGACTCCCTCCCTCCTACAGCTGAGGACAGCCAGGAATATTCCCCACCAGGGATTCCTTGGGTTATATACTTCCTCACAGACCCTTTATGGGACTCTTTCTCCCTCACCTCAAGAATTTTTCCAGCCTTCTGGGGAGATAATCAGTTTGTACCACAATATTCAGGAAGACACAGCTCTCCTTAATGTGTCACCTGCCATTCACGAGGCAGGAACACATAAGAAGATCTAGAAAACAAATTATCAGAGCAGGACATGTGTGTCCTGTTTTTGTAAGCAAGAAGGGTGCGTTCTTGGCAACATGGGAAGGATATGGAGCAGCTCTGGCCTGATAGGTGCCTGCAGGCAGACCACTGGTCTGGTGCAGAGCTGCAGAAGCCCACACATATGTGTGTTGTGAGGTGTTTAGGTATCTGAAGACAAGCTACTAAATTGAAGGAAGAAAACAGAGGCTGAAGGGAACCGTATATCCAGTTAGTGTCAGAATCAAAGGAAGGACTAGATGAGAAAAAGCTGTATACTGGAAAGACCCTATCTAAGTTTCATTTTTTTTCTTCCCAAAGAAGGCGATGTAATTGCCGGATTATTCTGCTTGGTCACAATTAGAGCTAACTAAACAGGAAGAGGAATTTTGTTCCATGCGAGCATGAAATTCCAATGCACGCTTTCAATGAGTTTCTTTAAATCTGAACATTTCAACCAGTTTCTAAATAAACAAATAATAATTTGAGTGAACTTACAAGCTGCAGCAAATCATTGCAGTCATCTTACATCTGCATTGGTAACAATCTTCAGTCTTCCACACCGCACCAAAAACATAGAGGTTTCTGTTTGAAAGGCACCCTGCATGCACAAACCAGAAAATGATAGCCAGTAGATCAGTATGAACATCTATCAATAGACATAGACCACACTCTTATGTTTGTGGACTAGCAATCAAAGCACTGATTTTCATAGAGTTATACCAGGGAAGAACTTAACCCCGTGCTCTATAGAAAAGATACCATGTCTTTGCTCCTGAAGTGTGCATGAGTGTATGACATGGCATGGTAAAGTGGTAGCAACCACATACCAGAGAATTACTATTCTGCTACTGCAATGGATCTGAGAAATGCTTTAGCTTATGGCTACAGCAGGATCTTTCTATCTTTTCTCATATTCAACATACAGTCCTAGACTTTCTCCTTCTTCTTCAATTCTTACTAGACTTCAACGTGCTCTGCTAAACTGAATTTAAGCACCAGCTGTGTTGTCTTTGCTTTGATTTCAGTGTCAGGTACCCCACTCAGGTTAGTCAATACTGCTTAAAAGTAGGTGGGTTTTGCCACATGGGCAAGGACCTCAGTGTGTCCAGAGACGCCTCCAGGTGGGTTGATTCCTGAGTATGCAGCTGTTTGGATCATTCCTCAGCAAAGAACATATTATACTATTCCAACATTTCTAAGGAAAAAAGACTCTGAATCTCTGAATTAACGCTTCAGGCATGTCTACTATATTTGCTGTCCTTACCGTATTTGCTGGCTGGTCTAAAGTAACAGCGAGCATCACACGGAGTTCTTGAGAAGAGGAGGATCAAGCAAAAGAGCAAAAAGAATTTCTGGAAAATAAACAAAAATCTTTCTTTAAAATTAGGTGGTTTTTTCCAAAGGTCTAGCAGATGAAATTGCACAGGATTAAGGATGAGTGTTACCATTCCCAATAAACTTCAGATTAAAAAATACTTCCAGTGTACATACACAGACACAGACACACACTATAAGCTGTTAACTTACCATACTTGCATGGGCTGCTAAACATTTCATAATGAGGAGAAATGTGTATTTATATACAGCAAGGAAACAATGGTCAGCGCAAGGGGAGGTGATGTAAATGTGAGCACCCTGAGTGCCAATGGACACTCTAACCTGTTCTGATCATCATCGATCAGAATGTGGCACCTCAAAAGGTTGTGCAAAGGCTTATTTTGTGCACTGACATACAGTGGCATCTTGATCTCCATTGTGCTGGTGTAAATCTGAAGAAACTCCAGTAGATAGACTATTTACTCCACATCAGCATTGGTGTCAGTGGAAGAGTCTGACCCCCAGAAAGCTACACCTCCAGAACTGGCAGACCATCAAGGAACAGTGGGGAAAGGGCACTTGCTAAGCAAGGCAGCAGGGCACTATTGTTTGGCTGACCTGCTACAAGGAGATCGCCCCCAGGTATAGAACAGGCCATTCATACAGTGCAGTGGTGTGGAGAGTCCACTGTTCTCAGACTGATTTATTACAATTTCATTTATTTTATGAGAGACACATTATTTTCCCTATATTTAGCAACCTGCAGGGACTAGCTGCAGTTATGTATCTCTCAACTGCTGAAGCAAAGCCAGGCCTGGGGGATAGAGACGTATCACCATGACCAGATAGCACCTTTCTAGCAGCAAAAGTGAGATGAACTGTGTGTTGTCTCAGTCCAGAAGCAATCATAACAGTCAAGACTGTTACTCATGGCTCCCTTCCTGAGAGCGACAACAACAATGCCAAGGATTGGGAGAAGCAAAGAAAGAGAAAGTTCCAATTTTCTTTCACCGCATGCATGCCCTGCCTCTAACACAGCTGGAATCGGACACCAACATCAGTGTTGTTTCTGCAACACTAAAATAAGGACATTTCTCTCAATACACATCTTGCCACAGGTGTACAGGACTTTGTGCAATTAAACTGTTTCAACACACAGTAGGTGAGGCTGCATCTCGAAACCAGCCAGAAAACCTAGCACAGATCCCTCTGGCTGCATCAGGGGCTGTAGGGATCCAGTGCTTTTCTGAATTGGAGTATAGGCATAGCAAGTTTTAAGAGTTACCAAAGGATTCCCAGCATAATGAGTTGCATTAATTCCATTAGCATGGCTCTTTCAGCCCACCTGTGTTTAATTAGACACCTTGCACTGTATGGCTGAAGTCATTAGCTTCCACTGATTGACAAATAGCTAGAGGAAGCAAAGCTGCACTGGAAGTAGTTTCTGGATAAGACAGGCAGTGGCAGAAAATGTGTGGTCTCTTGAGGGATTTGGAGTAATGAGACAGTTGTGGAGGAAGTGGTTGCTGTTTGTTGTGACTGAAGATTTGATTTATGTAAGTTCCTTTTGTTTGTTTGTGTGTACTTAGTGAGAGACTTCAGAGCTTCTGTTGTAGTTTGCTTTTAACTTTGCAGTGCAGCTGTGAAGCTTTGTGTTAACCTTGTGATTTTGGTAGATTGTGCTGTGTAGGTATGGTTCTGCTGTAGGGAACTGTTGTGGTATCTAATGAAGTCCCTTGAGAAAATATTCCTTCTCTGGTAATCCTTAAATGAATGAACTTCTATTTGAAGGGAATGATTTGCTCAAAATTATTTTCTTAGCAAGTAGAAGCAATAAGGTGAAAATCTAACATATCTCTTATACCACTAGGCCTTTAAATATGCAATGTGGTTTGGGGTTTTGTTTTGGCTTGGTTTTTTTGTTTATATTTTTTATTTTAGTTGAAACCATTTGATTAGGGTCTAGTGTAACTAGAGGCTAAACCAACTTGTGGTCTGTCCCTGCTGTAACTCTTGACAAATCTTGTGCTGCTTCTTGAGAAGGGGTAAGTGTTATGGTGCATTATACCTCTAATAAGTGTATAGTTGCAGGAAATGTAACAAGGAACTTCTGACTTGAAGGGCATGGTGGATTGTAAATTTTCTTAAGATTATTAGTTTAATTAATTAGCTAATTCTCCTTTCTTCCTTGGAGAGAAATAACTATTAATTACCTTCTTATAATTCTTGCTGTTTCTCAGGTAGACAAATGTATAAAATATACATGTAAAATAGGAAACTGAAGTGTAATGTGATCAAGGCTATTGCTGCCAGAAATGCCTAGTAGCTCTACCTCCTTAACCTGAATTGTATGTCAAAGCTTTAAAAGAAAAATTTAAAAAAGCATCTTAAAGCATCTTGGATTGCAGACTTGAGAATGAAGAAACTAAATGCTTATGAAAGTCTGTAATATTGAGTGAATTGTCTATGGGATCTGCAGCAGGGCAGAGGCTGAACCCATCTCTGTCCATGTTCCTGCTTTTCTTGAGGCAAACAAGGTTTTCCAGGTCAAAAGGTTAATAAGGAGTAGAGAGGATTCTCTGTTGTGCAGATGTAACTGAATTTACTTTCTGGGACTGCAGCATTAAGCAAGTGTCCTCTGAGGGTCCCTCTGGGTTAAGAGAAAGTTAAGTTGTCCTAGTCTAGCTGATGGCTGTGATGGGCGAGAAGGCTGAGTACCTCTGAGACATGGAGACCATGGCAGCTTCCTGATTTCCCTCTATACCTTCTCCCTTGGGGTTTGTTGTGCTGGAAGGGCTTGCAGCCCAACTCTAGACATACTGACTTAAGTCAAAAAGCTTCCTTCACTGGCTGTGGAGGTACAGCAGCAGTTAATGCATCGGTCTCCTCAGCTCAAAGTCCGTGAAGCGATGAGAGGAACATCCAGCACTGCCTTCCCCTGTTTATCTAGCTCCTATGTCTGTCAGGGAAGTTGGCAAACTAAACTGGTCAAATAATGTAGCAGCCTGACTAAAATAGTGACTCTGTGCCAAGCTGAGGAGGCAATTCTGCTCTAGGAAGCTTTTGCCAGTTAGAAGAATTCTGAGTTTTCTGAGATGCCTGGAGTTGGAGGGTCTGGGCTGTGGTCCTTCCTCAAGCCAGAGGAGTGCCTGGATGGTAGCTGCAGGTCACCAAGGCTCTGACTATGCTATCAATTCCATAATTTGAATAAAACTTGCTCATATTGAAAACATTTCTTCAGTAACCTTTAGTGGCTTTAGACACGATCTGCTGGATTTCTATTGCTTCAGCTTGTGTTTCCCGATTCAAAACTACATCAATGTACTGCTTAATTACGAAACACTGCAGTGGGCTTCAAAACTGGTTTAAAGTGCGTGAATAAATTTGAACTGGCTTCAGAATGGATTATGTCAATTTGTTTTAGAGAAGCTAGTAAGTGAAACTGATGTTCCTTTTGGCTCTGACTACTGATTGCCTCCACTTTTAGCTGAACTCACAAGAGTGACCCATTAGGTAAATGAAATTTGGTATTTTCCCCCAAAGCACCACATATGTGACCCAGCCTTTGTCAGTGAGAATAGTTTGCTACTTATCAGAGGTGCAGCAGCATTGGTGTGGCCACCACTTGTGGTGGGTGGTACTGTCTTCCCTCTGCAGGAAGGATTCCAAATTGACTGCCTGATGCCTTTTGACTGTGCAAATGTACCCTGACAAAATCTTCCTCCCCCATGGAAATTTTAAAAATGCATTTCTCTGATAACTCTCCCTTTCTTTCCCCTCCAGTTCACAACTTTACTGGTCTGGGGCTGACAGTATTTGGGTCTTTTGTACATGTGAGATTTTGTTTATTTTAAACTTGAACTACTTTAAGTTTTTTAGCCTATGTGAACCCTTTGTTCATCCTGGTTGTGTCTCTGAACACTCTCCCTTTGAAGCAAAAATTGAGTTCTCTAACTGATGCTCATGCAGAAGGTCTGACTTTTTCTTTAAACTTTTCCGCAAAATGACATAACACAAATGTGTTACATCACCTCCACCACCTTGAGAAGAGGCAAATGTTGCTTTTTCCTTTCTTCCTCCCTTTCCCTTGGGGAGTAGGTAGTTTTGGTCTCAATCCACAAACTAATTTAGATCCCAAGGTCCAACTTGCCTTCAACAGGAATTTGCCCTTGTGTGAACCCTGAGTCTAAGTCCCGAGCAGCTCCTCCTTGTTTTGTTGGCTATGCTGCACTTGTGATATCTCTCTGCTCTTTTCTTCCCCTCTCCTGGAGAACACACTGCAAAACATAGAGAACTGCACCTGGAACAGGCACAGGTCTGTGTCTGAGCTAGTGTGACACAGAGACAGTTAATGGCCATACTTAGATGACAGTGTCCCTGGGTCACTGCTCAGGGATGGCTGACTTTGGCTCTGCCAGACTGGAATAGCAATGTCTGCCTTCCTGTTAGACAGGAAAAAAATACTGGAAGAACAGAGTTATTGCATCTGTTACTATCTTTGGTGCAATCTGGCTTGAATGACCATACAAGGGATTAACTCTAGCCTGGGTTTGTCATGGAAATCTTGCATGTGCCAGTGATATCAAAGTGCAGATGGCAGAGGAAAAACAAGATTAATTTTTTTATTATTTTCTCCCTCTCTCTGACCTAGTGAGCAAGACCTCTGCCTTCTTTCACCAGTGCAGGCCTGCAGGTAGCTGGCCACTGCTTGCTTTCATCCAGAGGAGTGTCTTGCTCCACTTCTTGAGGGGGTTCTAATTGGGGGTTGAGGGGACCAGTAACTGCTCATGAACCCCTGGACCTTGCCACTCTTCTCCCAAGACAAGAGCATCCCAAATCCCTGAAGTGTAGCTATTCTTCCAGCAGACTGGGAGTAGAGCTTGGTGTCTGTAGGTACAGATGGAGCCAGCCCCACCCTGGCCCTGAACTTCTCTGTGGGAACCTGTAGTGGCAGTTCTAGGAAAATGTCCTTGACTCTCTTCAGCATTTCAGAGCTGAAGTGAACCTTTAGCCTCTTGGTGTGACTTGCTCCACATGTGACAAGCAACTAGCCTGGCACCACCATAAAGTACTACTAAAATGGCTGGGCTTTGAAAAGCTCCCTTTTAAGCTAATGCTACAAGCCCTAATTTCCCCTCCTGCTCTGCTACTCTGTGAGTCTTTTCCACCCTAGACAACCTCTGAGGGAGAAGAGTTACTCTTAAGCTGAGTCTCAGATCTCAGCATTGATGCTAGGCAATGAGCTATTTTGACAACTAACTTCCCAGAACTGCAGTCAGAGGCTAAAATATCTAAACACTGTCCATTATTTTGACAACTCTTAACCCTTTTGTATTTATCAACTTTCTTGTCTTTACTAAACATGTGAAGGAGCCAGGGAATTTCTTGTCTCTTGTCTGACAATAGAGCCCAACCATTTTGTGTGCTGCATTCTCCTGTGCTGAATACAGAGCTGCATGCTTGGCTCCTCCTATAATATCAGGTAGATGCACATAGCCCAGAACAAACTGAGGATGAAACCCTTTCATCAGAAGATAAAGTAATATAAATGCTTATTAACAGTGTTAAAAGCTCTCTGCTGCATGATATCTAGCAAGGAACACAAAAGTCATTAAGTACTTAATAGCTCTGCTTGTGTATCATATGAGGATCTTGGTCTATCTAGCAGAGCAGCTCCTTGTAGGTTTTTTTTTCCCTTCCTTATCCCCATTGGTTCTAGTCATCTAATGACAGTTCTGTCTTGACTTCAGCTATTCCTGAAAATTCAGGTTTCTCACTAGAAGGACTGAAAACTGTTTCTCAGTGAGAGAGGACTGCAGGAAGCCCTAGGGTAGTGATGGATGTCTACTTGATGATTTGCCATCACAAGACAACAATCTTCACTGAGGCCAAAGAAAAAACAACTGTGCGTGAGTTGAAAAAGAGGGTGGACTGAAGAGGCCATGGGAGGAGCAGTGGCTCTACAAAGATGAGCAGCTGCTGGATGATGATGATAGGACTTTGCTAGTCAGTGGCTTAAGCAGCCAAAGCTGCCATCCTCATGCTCCTGCCACAGTGGGCTTGGCTTTATTCAGACCTGGCAATGGCACCTTTGAACCATTGCATATTGACCTCTTCTCAAGCACCTCAGAGCTACCTGATATTAGGGAGTCACAGGAGTCTGATAGAAGCTCTAGTGAGCAAACCTTGCACTAAAATTGGCATCTCCTGATTTGCCTCTTGGCAGACAGAGTGCTGGTCTTGTCTATGTATCCTGCATCCATCCACACCCTTCCAAATGTGTCTATTGATCATTAAAGCATTGCAACTCGGTTATATGATGTCAGTGTGCTTTAGCATCCATGCAGTCAACAGGATTGTTTCCTGGGATCCTTCTCTCAAATTAGTGCTAGAGGAAACAGGTGGCAACAGCTACACCTGCACCTCCTAAACTGCAAATAGCGTACTCTACTGCTTGTGTTCCTTCCAGCCAAGGTCCATGGGCCTTCCCAGCTCTGAGCTGCTGGGGGTTTTTTTGAGGAAGAAGTGTTGCACAGATCAGCTTGGTATACAAGCATTTGTTTCTCTGTCTTCATCTTGACTTCTAACAGTAGTGCCTCTGAGGAGTTTGGCTGGAAGTCTTGGGGAGACAGGGGTGCAGAAGGAAGTTATAGTCCTGCCTGTAGCAAAATCTTTAGAACGACTATAACCTTAAGACCTTAAGCAGAGGTAAGGTTAGCAAATAGAGCTTATTACCTCCAAAGTTAAGGGACACTGCACTAATACAATGCACAACAATGAATTTCTAGAGGTGACATGAAGTATGGTTACTGGCATGGACTGTTGAAAACTTCTGTCAACTGGGCAAAGATTTTTCTTCAAAGTATTAGGAGTTTATTTTCTGGCATCTGCATTCTTTCTTGAAAGGCAAGAAAAATGCAGTGGAAAAGGGGCAGTATAGCCAGAAATGGGTACAATAAAACTGCAGTTTTAGAGGCCTGTAAGAAAGAAGTTGGTTACCATAGGTGTGAGATCAGTCCTTCTACTGTCAAAGACAGCTTATGAAATTGCTTCTCTTCCCAAACAGAATTGACTTCAGCACTATTTTTTTTTTTTTCCTATGAACCACATTCTCTATTTCATAATTAGTGTTAGACTTTCCCTTTCATCCCTAGTGATGACTTCACAAGTAATCGCATCTGACTCAACTAGCACTGCTGGGCTGCAAGGGACAAACTGTTGGGTTTGCTCTGTTAACAATCAGAGGTGCTAATGCATCTGTTCTCTCAATGAACCTCTGAAGTACTGTTATTGTTAAGTTTTCATTTTCCTGTATCAAGTGTAACTCAGGCACACCAGTCTATGTCCAAGTTCAAATAACACCTAAATTAAAACTACTCAGTCCTGTCCATGATATCTCCTTGGATGTTTCTTTCTGTACTGATAGACTAAAGACACTTCTAAAATGTCGCTTACATTCTTAAACCTCACTGGAGCAAACAGAAATGCAGCTCAAGTCTGCCAGCCGAATCAGGAGCTAGATTATTGTGTTCGCTGTAGCACTGACTTGTCTGTCCTCTCCTTCCAGCGCAGGATCACTGTGGCAGAACGAGGGTGCCATCTAGTGACTCTAGTGAAGTTATAGGAGAGAAAAAAGAGCAATACAAACAAAAACTCCCCAACAACAGGGAAAAGTTCCAGAGCTGTCATATATGTAGGTAAATAAGCTATACTAATGTAGCTGGGCTGTATTTAGAGCAATCTGCTCGATCAAGCTCCTGATTCTTTCCACTAGGCTTGCTGAAAAACTTAAGTCCTCTCTGAAATTCTTGGCTAGCAGTGAGCACCAAGCAAAGAACACTGGCATGCCACTCTGTCCAGGCTTTTAGCTGAAATAGACCTGGGTTTCTTTACCAGTAGCTAGAATTGTGCTGTGCTTTGCTTCCAGCCTGAGACTTTCTGTGAGAGAGACACTGATAACATACCAATGTTTACATTTTGCCTGACACGTGAAAGGTCCACAGTTCGAAACCGGGCAGAAACACAGCACAATTCTAGCTACTGGAAAGGAAACCCAGGTCTATTTCAGCTAAAAACCAGGACACACTCCCTTTCTCGCAGAGTTCTGGTCATTCTAACTTTCAAACTCCTTTTTGCTGAAAAGAGATGCAAGAGTTCCCCATCCAGAAGAGATACATGGAAGAAAGTGTAGGGAGATGATAATGAGGAATATTGGCTGCTCAACAGAAATTATATCCTAAATACATAGGCCTGAGGCCAGCCATGTAGCCAAACCAGATGCTGAACTCCTGTGTGTTATGCCACAAGTGTCTCTGCCAGGATCCATAATAATGTCACAGACTTAATCTCTTATCTAACCCATTTGTATAACTAGTTGTTAATATTAGAGTACAATACCTTGAATGTACCCATCCAACAGTCTGCCCCACACACTCAAATATTACAAATAGGAGCAAACAACTGAGATGGAAAAAAATATACTTTTGTCAAGTAATCGAGACTATGGATGTATTCCTGTCTGCAAGAGACAGTTGTAGAAAAAACAGGACTCTAAAGAATCTTGAATGAATACTGCACCAAGCTAGACCCCTGCTCACATCTCCTGGACCATCACCTTTGGTGCACAGGACAGCATTCCTTTGTCCAGGAGCAGGGCAAAAGCAGGAGAGCACCCCAATAAAATAAGCTCTTGTGGCCCCTAGGGAACTTCCTCCCTGTGCAAGACCTGGGCAGACTAAGGGATAGTGCTTTTAGGAGAGATCAAGCAAGTCCCAAGCTAAGAACTGAAAAGGGGAGGCAAATTGCCTCAGGGAGCTGTCATAGTCTAATGAGACTGTAACTTGGCTCAGTATAGCATGTTAGGGAAACTGCATGGTCCCAAGATGGTATTTCAGCCCAGTCCAGCTACCCTTTCTTTCCTTCATACAGTGGACCGGGGTGACTTCTGTGTTATACAGCTTAGGGAATGAATTCTTTCACAGTCTCTGGGACATTAGAGTTAGTTAAAACAAAACTCCTTGTTTCTGTCTCTGGGGATTTGCCCCACTTTTGGCAGACCAGGGTAGCAATGGGAGAAACCTTTGGAATGACAGTGGAGAAAATACTGGGATATTTTGAAGTAGGATATCTCATGCTGGCCTCCAGTTTATCAGTGCTCTGTGATGGAGATCTACTTGAAGTATTGACTATGCAAAAGCACTGAAGACCTGGAGAAATATAAAAAGCATGGGTCAGTGCTTGAGACTTACATACTGAAAGAAATGAAATGTGAAAACAGACATTTTGGGGGTGGGGAGAAATGTAACCCGGTCTTGCTGAGTACTTTAGATTGGTCATATAACTTGTGTATTCTGGAATTTCATGTAAATACCTATTATAAAGCCAATCTGTTGGCTTTATAATAAACCACAGCTTGGCCTAGAGGAAACATGCACAGCTATAAAATAAACCACAGCTTGGCCTAGAGGAAACATGCACACAACAGATTTGAAAAGAAACATTCAGGCTTTCAAAAGGTACCAAAGCAAACTTTCCTTCATACCAACAGATGAGTTAAGTAAAAGCAAAGTGAACAAGTGAGATCATCATGAACTGAATTTATCTAAGTTTTTAAAATTGGCACGAAGCAGAATGTGAACTGTAAATCTCTAACTTCTTTGGTATGCATAATGCACTTTCCTTGTTTATGATTAGGTTGGATTTTATTTTTAAGATTGGGGCAAAAATCTTGATGGAAACAAAACATGAATGGGTACTAAACCATTAAGTTTTAGGTGATCAACACTGTTTAATAGGAAAACTTCCAACAGATGTATGACATGCGTGTTCTGGTGTTTGGTTTAAAAGACTTGGTAGTTGGTAGGCTAGGCAGAAGATTTCATTTTAGGGCAAGAATGACTTTCCAGTACTTTAGACTTCTCTTGAAAAGAGTGACTGGGAGTAGAGGGACCAGGGCCAGCTATCTGAAACTGCCTCTCCTAGCAGTGCTAGTGGGAGACCTGTGTGCTACCAAGTGGAGAGAGGGAAATTAGGGGGAAGAAAGCATACAAACTCTCCTGCTCTACCTTGGCTGAGTTGTTTCTCAAGGTTTTACAGAGTCTCTTAAACCTTTAACATGTCAGGATAATTGAGAAAACTCTTATATGAATGTTTCCTTTCCACTATATGGAGCTAGGGGTGTTACAATCTAAGGCTTTGAGGGTGGGAGGATGTGTTCTTTGTGTGGGACTGTAGCTGTGGGTGTTGAATTAGTGAAATGCCAAAACAAAATATCATTTAGTACAAGTGCAAAGAATAAAGCAGAGCTTTGTGGGCCCTATCTCTACTTTCTCAATTTTAAAGGTTTTGCTACACTCCCACAGCCAGACTCCTTGCCACAGAAGGGAGCCAAGTCCCTGCTGTGCTTATGGTGTTCCAAAATCAGATGTGATGGGTAACATCATCTGTTTCCATGTTGAAACTTGGAGGAGAAAAAAGAAGGGCAGACTGCTTCCTGGACGATCTTTGAATTAGACATTAAATGAATTTTTCCTGCTTCTGCATAACAGACAGGGTAGATCCACATACCATAACAAGACTTGGCAGATGGTGGAGAAAGGTGCTTGGGTGGATTTAAACTGTAGTTAAATACGTTTGGATCATATAGGAGTGCTGGTAAGGCTGGCTTTTCTGGAATTTGGGTGAATAGGTCTACTCAGCCTTAAAAAGGAAAGTAAATATTTGGTCACATCTTAAGACTTGGTGTTCTCTATGGACATGCCTTACAACTGTCTCTTGCAGATAGAAATACATCCATAGGATGGTTTGGGTTGGCAGGGACCTTCTAAAGATCATCTAGTTTTGCTCCCCCTGCCACAAACAAGTACATCTTCTAGATCAGGTTGCTCAAAGCCCTGTTCAACCTGGCCTTGAACACTTCCAAGGATGGGGCATCTACAACTTCTCTGGGCAACCTGTTCCTCTGTCTCACCACCTTCATAGTAAATAATTTCTTCCTTGTATCTAATCTGAATGTACTCTCTTTTAGCTTAAAACCTCTACCCCTTGTCCTACCACTACAAGCTCTGGTAAAAAGTTTCTCTCCAACCATGCTGCTACACTTCCTGTGTCATGTCCTGTGATGAAAACTGGAAATAGCAACCTTACAACTCCTGTGCATCATGGTGCAGTAGTTTCTCAGAAAATATTCCCAAGTCCTCTAGCCTCAAACCTAAAGTGTCGGAGTCTGAGCTTGGCAGGTGTCATTAGGACACACCTTCAAATAAACTTTATTTTAGCACAGGCATGCAAATGACCCAGCTGCTAATGGGCATAGTGTCCCTCAAACAAATGAATCTCACTAAATGTGGATAGATTGTTTTGCAAATTGAAAGTCTTGAGCTTTCCAAGCAGGTGAGGGTGGGAAGCAGAAGAGGCAAGCTAGTATTTCTGCTTGCAGTCACACTGTCGACCAAAGTTTTCCCAAGAAACGTGTGCTTTGTGGTAGGTGAATTGTGATTATATATGCAAGTATAGGGGTGCAGTGCCAAAATAGTCCTAACCCAAATTCAGAACTTCAGCATTCTTGGCAGGTGCTGAAGGGGCTGGAGCTGATCCTCCAGAACAGGAAGCTGGATGCAAACACTGGAAACCAAAATTTCGATGCTAGAAAGAGGAAGGCAGTTGCTAGAGGCAAATAGGAAACTTGTACAGGCAGCCTGTACATGCACTGGATTAAAACAATTAGGGAGCTGGAATCTGAGGTAAAGGCAGTTTATTACTGCAAGAACATATCTAGTAAGAAGATGGACTTCTCTTTGTGAGTGGGGCTCAAATTGCATCTGCTGCTGGGATGGCAATAACCCAGAGAAAAAATCTTTATGCTGTATAAAAAACACTGAAGACTATTACACAAACTCTAAAATGATCTGCCCACACTCCATTCCCCTGCAGCAAATCAGGATGGCCTCATAAATGCCATCTCATCTTGGCAGGCAAATATTTCTGCAACTTTCTGTTGGATATTGGTACAGACCATGAATTTGAACATACTGCCTACTGTAAACAGCAAGATTCATGTTGTATGAGAACACGAATCCTGTCTATACACTGATGGCACCTGTAAGATATGGGATAGAATAATGGCTTGGGTTTTAAACGTCCTCTCATGGCCTTGATGTAATGCTCCCAGCCTTTGGACAGTTTTCAGACATTACATAATGGGATACCTTGTCTCCTTCTACTTTGTCCAAGAGTACTCAAACTGGCAAACTTAAGTACACAGAAGCTGAAGGGTAAATGAATTTCAGTGGATTTCATTCTGTTTCTGAGATCAGATCATGATCTGCAGCAGAACAGAAAAGGCTGGTACCCTCTGAACAACTGGAGAAAAAGAGATCAGGAGACTTTAGTGATGCAGAAAAGAAATTAACTGAGGAGGGGAGAAAGATGGCAGGAAGGAAAAAAAAATGGCCTCCTCTTTTGGATATCTGCACAGAGCTTGGCCTCTTGTGCACAGAGAACATAAATGCAAAGCTCAGCTTCGGTTGAATGCAGGTCACAATTTCAGACTCATCAACATTTTCAGTTTAGGCTATAGTACTGCAGAAAAGGAATAATTCAGGAGTTCAGAAGCAGGTACCTCTACTAAACCCAGGATATCTCTGCAAATACTGATGAAGTTTACACCATTGCCTTCAGAAATGTCATCAGAGTACCTTGCATTTTGGTTCCTGTTATGTTCTTAGTCTTCATCTTTTCTAGCTTGTAGTCTTCCTGAATATCATTACGAACTCTGGATCTTATTTTTGACTGGTTCTATGAAATGATTCCTTTATCACTTAGGGCTAACTGATAAAGACGGGAACTAATCATGTGCCTAAATAGTTGGTTACAGACCTTGTTCCACATTGTATTATAATTTTCTATCTGTGTAAATACACCACAAGCAGGTCCCGGTAACTTCCAGACATGGGTAGATGTGTGTGAGAGAGAGAGAGAGCAACAAAACCAAACCCAAACCAAAACAACAAAAAACCCACCACAAATTCAGGAATCAGTTTCAGATTAGTTTGGAGGTAAACTATTAAAAAAGTGAATGTTGTCACAAGCAAATTGTCACGCTAGCTCTGGTAAAGACGTGATCAAAATCCCACTATCTAAAGATAAGGGAGGAGGTATCCCTTGTTCTCAAAGTAAGGTATTTTGGGTGTTACGTTCTGAAGTTCTATATATAGCATCTTCCTGGGCTTCACAAGGACATTGGTTCAGTTACAACCCAATCTTGCACATGTTCCTGGGCAGCCTGTTGACACCTGTTCCTCATCTGATGTGGAGCACAAGACCTCAACCAATGTTGCACATTTTTTGGTAGCCTAGAAAGAAGAAAGTGGGACAGATGCAGCTCAAATTGTGCAGAACCTTCTTACCTTTTTCCCCTGTAGATGTAATTTTTACAGCTCTTGATATAAGTGCCTTATGGGCTTTATGGCCCCTTTCATCTACTTGCACTGTGCTGTTAGCAGCTTTGGCTTGTAAACTGTTGTATAAAGTGTGTTACTGTGGATCCTCTTCCAAGGGGGCATGTAGCAGACAATTTTTAAAAAGTGTAACCAACAGAGTTGTCTCTGTGGAGAAGGAGAAAGGGAAGCAGAGGCAGAATAAAACACTGGGATGTAATTCCTAAGGTCCTGTGTCGCTCGCTGGAGCGAGGCTGACAGAAGCTGAGGTTTGCCTTGCCCCTGCAGACAGCAAGACCAGGCCCTGCTGACAGTGTGTGTGCTCATTCCATAATTATATCCATAATTATTCCACATAATAATGCGGAATTATGGAAGCTCTGACGCACTCTTTCTCTTATGTGGAAATAGACCATGGAGATGTAGGATGCTCATAGTCACTTGTGGAAATATGCAACTGAACAAATGTACCCATAAAGATTATGAAGCAGCACCCTGAGGGAGAGCTTACACCAGGATGTGTATCCCTCTTGGTTATTGTCTGTGCATTTGCTGAGCTTCTTTCCTGTTCAAGCCCAGTCCAGATCAGTCTATCCAGCCACAATCCTGCCCACTGGCCAGTATAACAACTTGAATTTCTTAAGCGTTAATCTGAATAAAAGACCCTTTCTTTTACCCCCGCTCCAGGTTGAGGACTGGGTCTGCTCTGCTGTGTGTGTAATGGAAGTAGAGTGCTGGGTTAGACTCAGTAACTGGTGGCTCTTGCAGTTCAGAGGTTGGGCAGGCTCCAGGGAACCATGTAGGATAAAAAATAATATAAGACACTGTCTTAAAAACCAGAGTGCTCAGGAAGATTTTTAAGTTGCTCTTCATTTCCCTCCTGTGTTTTTTTGGAACATTAATTCTTTAGGTTTCCATCCTCAAAGAAGAAAATGAATCACATGAATTTCTGATGCTTCATCTGATTTTATTTTAGCTTTAAGATACAGCTGTGCACAGATAACAGAACATACTCCCTGGCACTGAAGTGTAACAGGAGAATAATTGAAATTAGCGGCTACCGAGGATGCTTAAAAATGTTGGCTTTAATTTCTGCTTACAAGGAGGGAACAAGTCAGTTCTTTATTCAAGGTGAAGCAGAAGGTAGATAGACTAAGGCAGTATTTTGTGACTAGATATTCAGTTTTATTATGCGTTAAGTTTTATGAGTAGATTTCATTCAACACCTGCATTTTTCAGTGTGTTTGAATTTCTGAGAGAGAGAACCCTTAAAAAAGGAAATATCCCTCAAATCCACAATCCTTCTCTGTTAGCCCACCCACTCATGGATTGGGCATTCTTTTGAGTGATCATCTTTCTCCACTACTTTGTAAGTGCAGGTCTCCTTGTTGAAAATGCTTACACACTTCTCTTCATCGTAGCCAACTGGTGTCATAAAGCTGTCAATAGAAAAAGAAAGACAGAGAGGAGATGAGACCAAGAAGTAAACAGCTTCCATTTGAGATGGTATCCATGCTTTTAATATGAAGAGGCTATAAAGAGGAGGTGTTCAGGAGCAGAAAAGGGAGCTCACAGAAAGCTCCCAGCTCAAAAGTTACTTACCCTGCTGCTTAAGCAGGGTTAGGGGAGAGTTGTTTGCTGATCTGATTTACACCCAAGGGATGTTTGTGTTTATTTGCTACTCAAATATAATTGATTTTACTTTTCAGCCACAATATGGAACAAGAATTGCAGGAGTGGTTGGGTGTCACTATAGTAAAAATTACAGACAGGCCAGTGTATCTTGAGCTGTTTCTGAGAGTAAAGAGGTACTATGTGTGGCTTTGGGAAGATCTGGATTAGGAGCAGTAGAAAATTGTTAAGTAACTACATATTCTCTTTTGAATCAGTATGTTGCCTGAAACTTTAGCCTCAAGAATAATTAAGTCCTTTTTTAAAAATCAGTAATATTTGCCAGAGTAACTTCTTGCATGTTCAGTGATTATGGTGTTGGGTTAATGTATAACTTTGTGATGTGAAGTGTGTGAGAGAAGGGTCACGGTCACTTCTCATGGACCTCTGTGTGAAGGCAAGTGTTTTGTCCTGTATCATGGCAGTGAAGGAAAACCTCCACTGCTGCTCTGAACTCACCTTGAGCAGCACTGTATTCCATCCCTGGAACAGAAGCAATCATAGCAGTCTGCATTCCTCCATTTGGAATCAAATTCATGCAGCTCTCCATCTGAGTCATGGCAGCCTGAAAACATAATGTGCAAGCAGCCTTCAATGTCAGACCTATTGCACTAACACCACTATTGTTTGTACAAAATGGATGGGATCTTTGTTGGCTTTTTATATTAACATCTCTGTCTGGCAAACACAGAGAGTCCCCAAGAGAGCAGAACTGCTGTGATTCTAATGCATGAAGAAGGGAATCCTGGGTCCTTCTGTTTCCTGTGGCTCTTGGCAGCACTGGGTTTCCTGGAATGGCTCCTCTTTAAGTATAGGAATCAGAGCACTCAGCAGAAAGACAACTTGTCACAGACTGGGTTAGAATTAAGAAAAGGCTTTGACTTAACACCAACTATTGTTGACTCCTTATTTAAAGCAAGACTAAAACTGCCCAGAAAACTTTTCCCAACCCTCAGCTGCAGGAAGAAAGCACATATTGGATATAAAGTTCCTGTCCAACAGTCACAGAACAGAATTCCTAAAGGAGTGATCTAGAAAGCAGGATTTTATGAAGACAGGACAAGGAGGATTTGGAGTTGTGTCTTTGCCTATAAATATGTCCTCTTTCTTTGTCAATGCTAACACACTTTTCTAGCAGTAGCACTGACTTTCCCAGAAAAAACCTCTATTTTGGAGTGCTCAATTTATTTTGCATACTGGCACACATCAGCCCTTCTTGTGTCCAAATAATCATATGTCTCTTCTGAGTGCTCATTTTCCTTCAGCTCCACTCATCTGCAGACTGATAAACTATCTGTGTTCAAGAAGAGCAGTCCCATGCTCAAGAGGAACAGCCATTTGGTTCTTAAGAACTTCCCTTAGGATAGGAAAACAACTGAGTAAATTGATCAGTGTGCTGAACAATTGCCAATCTGTTCCCTGCTTTGTGTTTATCACATAAAGAAAGGCACTTCTCCCTTCTCTACATTTCTAAAGATGCTGCCACAGTGAAAACTTGAATTATTACTTCATGTAGATGGATAAATTAAGCCTATGCTGTTTCCTTGGACAAAATTTATTTGTAATTTGGCCTGTGTGATGCTCCTCAAATAAACTCTTTTTTTAAATAAAATATTATAAATTATGTTTTCTCTATACCCTGTTTCCCCCTGCCATTTCCTGGTGTTTTCTCTCCATTGTTTCCTCTTATTTCTAAATTGTGATAAATTGTATTGACTGGACCAATCAAATCAGGCAGTTCTTGTGGTGATGGCAAGGACAGTTAACTTCTCACCTACCATCAGACATCCCTGGCTTCAACAGCTCAGTGAAGCAATCAGCGTTGGACAGTGGCACACTAACAGCAAGAACAAGAAGGCAGGCCAAGACAGTTCTCTGAACAAGAAAGCAGAATTAATATGAATGCTTAAGTAACTATTAAGATGTCTTGATGCTAAATACCACCATTAGAAATAACAAAATACATTGTGGTTACAAATCAAGATCCATTGTCTTTTACAGTTTAGACACTTTAACATGCAATCAGAAATACTGAGCCATTTAGAAGAAGCAGGGGCGGAGCATCATGTGGGAGGGGAAAAAAAGGTCTATCTTTACACCCTGCTGTTTCTAAAAATTCAGCTTAAATTCCCCAGTCTCTTATCCTTCAATATCAGTTTGAAATGTCTGAAGGACTTTCATTGGGGATATGAAAGAAATAAATGCAAGAACTCTAGGGTGGAATTAGCTGTAATGAATTTAAAATCATGGTAAGAGAGGAAAGGTAGACCAGGAAAAAACAAACATTTACACACACACATGTATATTGTATTTATATGTGGGTTTTTTGGACAGAGTAGACTGATGACTTATAAAAAGTCATATCTGTGAGACACGAGGGCAAAAATTAGCATTTAATGTTGCAGAGGAGAGGTTAAAACCCACAGAACTGCAACAGAGCTGCAACAGAGTAAAAATCAAGGTAATGATTTTGAGTTTAACTAGATGTTCAGACATTATGTAGACTTTCCAGAAAAATGAAGGCCAGTTCTAAGTTGAGACATAACAGAGCTACTTTCTGCCATGGAGATTACCTCCAAACATTGCATGTAAGTGAAAAGAGTTAATAATAAAAAGCCTTAGCTGGAGTCCTGTTAGACAACAGCTGCCATATAAATGCTGGTATTTTTTATCTGAGATTCTTGCATGCCTGTGCCTGCCCATCTGACCTTTGCTCTCAAAACTTTTTTTTTTTTTTATTTTCTCGGAATTGCTTAGATCTGTGTGCTCAGATAAATCCAACAGAACTGTGTTTAAAATCTATAGCAACATACTGTGATCCTTTACAGTATAAGATGTAAGGACTCACCATTCTTGCAGAATTATGAGGCTTCCAGTAAGAAGATGGCCTGTAAGAAGCTCATCTTCTTGGAGAACTTATATAGAGAAGATGGATTATTCCAGTCCTTGAGCAAACTGAATATGAATTAATAACTCCAATGAGGTTTCTGCAAAATGACCTCATGGGGTGGATGTTATTAAACTAAGCTAATTATAGACAGGAATGCTTGGTTCTGAAAGGCACTGAAGAAATAGGTGTGGTTTTTGTGCCACACCAGATCTGGAAGGCAGTTATGGTAGGTGCTTCAAAAGGGTTTTCAAGCCTGGAAGGAATGTTTAGCACTTGCCCTCAGAAACCCATTAGAGACTGTGTGGTTGTCACTCACAACAAAATTTGCATGCTTAGTTTGAACTATCTAGCTTTCAAGAGAGGAACTTTGAGCAATCATTCAGCTTTCTTGTTCATCAGCTGAAGATGAAAGAAGGCTCTTGTGGAAAAGGAGTGCTGGTTGGAAGGGTTACATGAAAAGCACAGTTTCTGTGGAGAGTGACTGGCATCTGTAGACCCTTAGGAAAGCATCCTAAATAACCATTTTCTTCCTTTGCTCAGTTTTTCGTCATGTAGAAGACCTATACACTCAGGTCCTCTGTTAAAAAATAGGCATTCTATATTTTCTTCCTTAATCCTTGGGGCCAGGGAGAAATGGTCCCTTTTCTGTAGAGGCTGTACATGTCAGGGTCAGACATGCTTTCCAAATGCTTAGGACAGTAATTTGATAGTAAACCAGTCAAGTACGGTCCTGTTTTGCTTAGCTTTGATCTAATTGGTTCAAATATTTCAAACCATGTAGCACTGGTAGGTGAAGAAGTCTTCCCCTTATTACCAGGGGATAACTAGCACCACAGCTACACAGTTCGTGCCCTTGATTCCTAATCACTGATAAACCAACAGAACATGTCAGTCTATGAGCATAGGCACTCCGACATCAACGGAATCTACAAGCCCCCTTTGGATCTCTCACAACTATGTATGAAGCCAATTTAACAGCATCATTGCACTTTGGGGTGTTGTCAGTGTTTCAGAGGAGATATTTCAGAGCATGTGCCTTTTTCTGTTAAAGGAGAGGAAAAAGGTTCAGTAGGATAAAGAAGTAATACACCCTGATTCTGGGCCAAAGCCACATTCTGTGTTGCTTGCAATGAAGATGGGGAGAGTTCACACATTACCTTCCAGTGTCCTGTTCCTATGCTGCCTGACCTAATTAATTTACATTTATGGGATGGCTAGGGATGGGCCCTGGCTTTGCATGTCTGCTCTTTGTAACCTTTATGGACTGAGAAGTAACTGTTTAGTTTGCCTGAAAATACTGGGAAGTACTACGATGGGAAGTACCACAGAGTCCTGTTGAAGATATTGGCTTCTCCATGTCCTCAGAGGTGATCTTGAGCAAATATTTCGTAACAGTTTGAAAGAAAAGGGCTATCAAATTACCTTGTCTTAATTCTGTTAGTATTACTGAGTTGTTTAATTTTTTGTTCTTGCATGTTGTGGAGTTTGCATGGAATATTTTGCTTGATGGTCACCCTGCAGCAGTTCTTGTATGTGAACTAAAATCACCAGTTGCGTAGCAATTTGTGATGCTGGTGTCCTGGAGTGAAATTTGTAGAATTTGTTACAGCCAAAGCGCAGTAAACTTGCTGATTTTATGTTGAGTAACAGAGAACATATTTGTTGCTCAATTAAAAATAAATAAATAAACAGACCAAAAGTCCAACCAACACGTCTGTTCTCTCTCTCAACTTTTCAGAGAAGCAGTGACTGCCCAACTGTTCCAACTGCAGAGCCCTTGATATTTTCTAGGTGCAGGCTATGCCAGATACGAAGTTCTTGCAAGCAGCTTTCATTGGAAGGTAGCAGGGAGTGACCTGCCTAAGCCTGAGCAGTGTCTAGGGACAGTAAAGAAGCTCTTCACATGACCTTTGAACACAGGGGACCCTAGCAACATGCTGTGGTGCTGAAACTACTCAAAACAGCAAACTCTATGAAGGTAGTCCATTCACATATTGATTACTGAGGTAATTTGTTGTCCCTATTATGCTGCGCTTCGTCACATTGTTCGTGTAGAGGATGACAGGTGCCCTTCTTGTGTGAGGAACAGGTATCTCCGATAGACATTGCTCTGCTGAAATCTTGTATTGCCCTCCCAACCAGTTTTTCTTACAAAAAATATTCTGAGAATATCAGTGCTCTGCCCAATTCTCTGCCCTCTTTCCACTTATGCTGATGAACGGAGTATTCTGTTTCTTCTTAAGGTGGGGAAAAACCTTGAGGACTTTCTTGAAGATTTACCTCACTATTTTACTTATTCTTCAGCTGGGATTTCTGGTTACATCTCACTTATGACCACAGAGATATTGAGAGTAATGTGAGATTATTAACCTTATCTTTTCTGTATCTTTCAGTGCTAGACAATCAACAGAGAAATATAGCATGATTTAAGAGCAATGTTATTAAAAAACCCCAACAAACAAGCTAGTATCTATGAAAAGCATTACTCTGTGAACAACTTAAACTAGAAGAGATGCACTAGAATGAAGGCAGTACAGGAATCTTGTTTCTTAACCCAGCATTTCAGTATTACTCTTGCATTCTTGAGAGGGATCAGCTTTCTGCAGAAGAGAATAAGTGCAGGACTCCTTATGGAAGATAAGTTCACATATCCAGTAATTAAAACCAGTAAGTTGACTACCACTGCTATTGAGAAGGGGAAAGCAAGAGGAAGTATGAGGCATATCAGCTTACAGATCGTAAGTAAATGCAGTTTTACAAATAAACTTGTCCTGACCTTAAACTGACAATGCTATGTATAATGTACATTGGTTTTACAATTGTTAAACAAAGTCTGCCAAATTTGCATGTGAGAAAGGACAGCTGTTTTAAGGAAAAGCACAAGTAAACAGCACTAAAATATACGGTGTACTGTTGACACAAGAACATATTGCAAATATGGTAGAAGGAAGCTTTATCTTGGTGGGAACATTTTTGTTAACTCTGAGGTTCATACACCCACAACCCTCAAAGCCTATGCCCTCAGACCTCTCCTGGTACAGAGATTAGCAATGAATTATGTTAATTTTAAGGCAAGGGGCACAGATGGTGTGAGTGACTTGTCCCAGGTAACATGCAGCATAGCAGAAATTTGAATTGAGGTCTCAATTTAAGCTGGGAGGCCCAAGCCAGAGACAACAATGTCAATTCTCCCCTGGTCTGAACACCCCTGTCTCCTTCCATATGTAGCAGAGTCCCCATTGCTGGGCCAAATTTCAGTTTTAATTCAATTGCAATTTCAGTAGGATGAGAAACAAATCCACAATCCACCCACGCCCCTAGTTTAGTTCTGTGGGGAACCAAGACACCTCTTGCCAAGGTGCACATGCTTTATTTACCTTTTTTTTTTAAAAAAAAAAAACAAACAAAAAACCAAAACAAAACAAAAACCACATGGTAATAATTCCTTAGGTAGTCTGGAAAATCCTGTCAGGTCATGATCCCCAGATAAAGGATCAGTGCTAAGCAAGGGACATAGAGACAGACAAGATCTAGAGAACCAGCCACAAATGCTAGACGGTGTCTGCAAGGAGGGGACCTCCATCTCTGCAGTGTGGGTAGCACTGAAGGAGATAGCCACATATACTATAGCAGCAAGGACAAAAGTCCAGAGGCAGTAAAACAAAATGGATAGCAGTGACAGACCTAGCTGAAAACAGAACTCCAATTTATGGGAAATGCAGTATTTCCTACACTTCTAACTTTCAACTCAAGCCACGTGGTAACAGAAAGATCTTAGAAATTGTCAGTGAACCAGGAAATTACAGAAAGGTTTATTCCAGAAATAAAAAAAAAACCCACAGCAATTCCAAACACAGCTTGTTATCATGACCCTGCAGCTGATTAAGCAAATGAATATCATAAGTCTATGGAAAAAATAAAGACTTTTTGATGGAGGTGTGACTTAAGGAGTTAGCTATAGGAAAGTGGGAGCGTTGCTGTGGTT